CAGTCCCCCCAGGTTTCAGACAAGTGGACTCCAGTATAAGATCACGACAATGCATTAAACATTCAAGATTTTAAAATTTTAAGGCCAAAGCAAACACATTGTCAAGTGGAATGTTGTGCATAAAGATGTGGTCATGAGTTTCTAACATTCTTAAGAGTGATTATGAACATGTATTTTTACAGTCATATGTAACCCTCAAAATTTAATTCATCATAGACTATTGACAATTCTCAAAGAAACACAAATTCCTCCCCCACACCTAAAAGATACATTGTCCTCAATGCATAAAACATACAAAGACAAACAAGAAAAGTACATACAAACTCCCACATAATGTAAAAGAAAAAGAAACGGTACTTCCTTTGGATTTTGTAGCGGCGAAACGAAATTTGGTGTGAGTAAAAGTTTACAGCTTTTGATGCATTCGCACGTGGGTTGACCAACCATAAAAATACTCATTAAAAGCAAGCTGCCACACTTGAACAAACCATTAAAATAAACTAACACTACGCCAATCAAATGATTAAGAAAAACCACAAAAATCAAGAAATCATAGCTCTCAAGATCATCAGGAACAAAAAACTTAACCACCCAACTGATTTATTTAAGAAAACAAATATCATTAATCAAACCATTGGGTTGCCTCCCAACAAGCACCATTCTTTAATGTCTTGGGCTAGACACAGTTTTGGTGCATCACGGTGAAAACTTGCAAGCTCCACACATAACTGGAACTTGTGAAAATCCTACAAAATTCTCAACAAAACCAGAGTAGGAAGTTCCTAATTTATATGCACACTTTAAATCAACATAAGATAGTGGAAAGTGATCTCCTCTAAATGTTTCTTTAAAAGCACCACACTTTCTCCACACATATACCATAACATCATGCATTAAATTCATTCCACAATCATCTAGAAATTTTATAATTACATTCATCTTTATCCCTAATTCAGGAGGTCTAGATAAATATCCATATGAAAATTCTATATGCATAAGCACATGTGTTAACTCAAATTTTTGAGATTACCATTTCTCATAAATTTCAGGCACAAATTCAAAAACATAACTACTAGAAAAATCAACTCCTGGAGCACTTTTAACATTTAAATTCACACATGTCTTTGCTAATGATGTGACTCCCTTTATCATTTTTATTCTAGCAGTTTGTCAAAATGATCTATCTAAGAAACATAGACTTGACTTTAAGACTGAATTTCCTTTCACATGAATCACATCAAAATTAGTAGGTAAAATATTTTCACCACATCGGACTGATAAACCATCTTCAACATGCACAATACTAGCACCAGACTCATCAACAAGTTTTATAACCTCACCAGCTTCATTCAATGACACACGTTTCAAGAACTTAATCACATATGTAGTAAAATTTTAGAAATAACTCAAGATTTATTGTAGCTGTCAAAGTCAAAAATCTTGGTTTTTGTTTTATTTATTCTTTTAATTTGAATTTTGAATTATTTATTGTGACTCGGTAAATTTTTAAAGTTACAGTGGGCGGTTAAAATTGCAACATAATTAACATTTATTTTTGTAAAGAAAAAATTAACTTTGAAAATAATTTAAATTTTAAAATTTTAAAATAATCTTTTAAATAAATAAATAATATTTTAACAATTAAATAATAAATATGAATTTTTATAATATTTTTAATGATTTAAATTTTAATGGAAGTTTAATTTATATAAAAAGATGAAAATACCTCTGATTCCGGCATGTTAACTGCCGGTCAACGGCAATTTATCCAGTATACTCGGGGGCACCATACTCCCCCTCTTATTTTTTACACTACTAGTCCTTACTACACTTTTTTTCACTTTTTTAAATAACTCCTATAATTTACAGGTTTAGTCCCTTTAATTTTTTTTTTCTCTCTCCTTTAAAAAATATCTCTAATCTCTAAACGGCCGTATCTCTCAATCCGTGAAGAATTAGAAAACGTGTTACACATGAATTTTATTGTACTCATCGAGATCTATCTAACAAGATACATGTCGAATGTTTTTTCCGAGTTTAAAAATGGCTAAATTTTGATGGGTAGAATAAGATGGATATCTAGTTTAGAAAGATGGATAACCAGTTTAGTTTCGTTTAAGATTCTTGTATTGCATATATCTCTTGATTTGTAAAGAATTAGAATACGAATTATACATAAAATTTATAGTGCTCAACGAAATCTATCCGATAAGATCCATGTTGAATATTCTTTTTGAACTTTAAATGCATTTAAATTTTACTGACAGAAATGAAGAAATGTGTTTTTTGTTTTTCTTTGAAAAATGGTTATCCGTTGTGTTCCTACTGATTATCCAACCGGTTTGGACTGATTATCCATTCTGTTTGTACTTGTTATCCAATCATATTTTTGACATTCACTCTTCAAAAAAAAAAAAAGAAAGAAAGAAAAAAATGATTGGATAAGCATTGCAAACAATTTGGATAATCAATAGAAAATAATTAGATAATCAGTGCAACACATTGGATAATCAGTACAAAAACGTTTGACAATTATTTTCATAAAAGAGCAAGGAAAAAAAAATACTAGATAATCACAACAAAGAAGTTGGATAATCAATATGAACACATTGGATATCCAGTTTAAGAAGATGGATAACCAACTTATTTTGAATTAAGAAGTTGGATAATCAATATAAAGTGGATATCCAGTACAAGCGAGTTGGATATCCAGCACAAACAAGTTGGATATACATACAAACCCGTTGAATTACAACTACAAAATAAGTTAGATAAGCATATAAACCAAATGGATGGATGTCCAGTACAAGCGAGTTGGATATCCATTTTAAACAAGTGGGATATCCATTACAAACAAGTTGGATAGACATACAAACTAAATGGATAAGCAATATAAACAAAATGGATAACCAGTTCAAACTGATTGGATAATCAGCATGAACACAATGGATAACCAATTTAGAACAAGTTGGTTATCCATCTTGTAAAACTGGATATCCACATTTATTCTGCTCATCAGAATTAAGTCATTTTTAAGCCCTGAAAAATATTCGCTATGGATTTTCTTGGATAGATCTCGACGAGTACTATAAATTTTATATATAATTCGTTCACAAATTTTTTACGGATTGGGAGATATGCTCGTGAAAGATTAGAGATGTTTTTTTTGGAAGAGAGAGAAAAAATAACAGGGACTAAACTTGCAAAATATAGAAAGATTGATAAAAAAGTACAATAAGGACTAGAATGCAAAAAATAGGAGGGGGTACACGGTGCGCCCGGGTATACTGGATACAGACTTCTGGTCAACATCGAGTTGGACGGAAAAGTGATCGAAACAGTGAAATGGGACCAAAAAAGTGTGAAAACATATTATTTGGGACTACGATATTGAAATGTTAATGTTATCTTTTTACACTTTCATGATGAATAATTGTGTTTAAAAACGTGTCAACTTTCAGACAGTGTCTCTACTATTAGTTGCACAATTATTATATAGTATTTATCATGCTCATACTATATTATAATTGCAGAATAATTTTTAGAGTTGGTAGTCCTTGCCACTTAATTGTTTGGTTAATTGTTTTACTTGCAATTTATCAATTTTTGTAGTCTCTCATTTGATTTGGTTAAAAGTATTTTTCAATAAACCTTTTCTCCTATTTATTTTATTATTATTATCTCAATTATTACTATTTTCTTTAACTTAATGATAATAAATTACTCCCTTATATCTAACTTTATTATAATGAATGGACCTTTATTATTTATCAAACAATATAATGATCCTTTGATCTCCCTTCCATGAATTTTTATTTTTAAGATTACAAAAAAGTTATTTCTCATTATTAAGCGAATTTGATTAGTCTGAATACAGTTTCGATACTTTTAACCATTGATTTTTATTTTCATAATTACAAAAATAATTTCTTACTATTAATCGAATTTGATTAGTCTAAAAGTATTTTTGGTGATTTTAACCTCTTTGAATTCCTTAATGTCTTTTCTTATTTTCTTATTTTCTTTGAATTTAATAGGTTCTTCAATAGAAGTTTAGATTGTTCCATAACTCCAAAGAACATTAAAAGTCATGTAGCATACATTTATCTATATAAAATTCTAAAGGTGGTAAGATGTTGTCACTTTTATCTTCTTTTCTTTTTTTCGCTTTACTTTTACCTCTCAATCTCAAGTTTATCGAAGGTAATCTCTTTTCATTACTCATCTACATCTTTTTCTTCTCAAATTTTATTTTTCTCATGTTTGGTTTTTGTTTTTGATACTTTTTCTTCTTTTATTAGTTGTTTTATTTTGGTGATACAAAATTAACACAATTTAGTGGTATCATTTTGTTCATAGTAAACTATATATTCCTTACTATAGATAAATTCGTTAACATATTCGGTATATAGTGTATTCATGTATTTCGGTATGAGTATTTGTATATAGTGTATTCGTTAACATATTCGTTAACATATTCGGTATCATTTTTTTCTCAAGTTTATCTCCAAGCACTCCTAAGATTCAAAAGTATCAAAATACATAATATAATTAGCAACAATCTAGTCTATATAATGCTATACAAATACTCATAAGTAACATAATAATTCCCCACATGTCAGAGAGCAATCACCATTGACCAAATATGATTTGGAAAAGATTTTAAAAACACATTTAGACCAAAAAAAAAGAAAAGAAAAGAAAATCTTCAACACCTCTATTTATGTAACGACCTGTTCTGACACGTCCATGCTTTAGTTACAAAGAGTCAAGTTGAAATGGTACTTTTGTCTACATCTCGCTAGGTCTCATTCAAACAGTTGATCCAAATATAAAAAACGTACGTAATTATGCACTACTTGTAAATTTATTTATTTATTTTTTAAAAGGAACCTCATAATAAATAAGCCTTAAGATTTGTGTACAAAACAGTAATAGAGCCAACAATGTTCTCATTTCTCTACATGATCACGACTGTTATGGCTGTATTGGTCGTGCTTTTAAGATCCATAAGTTATATACATGTCAGCCACAATCTGAGCCGATGTTGCATCCCTAGGTGCCTTATCTTCTCGAACACGAAGTAACCATGGATAAAGCAGAGAAATTCCCTCGTCATGATTCACGATACTAGTAGCAGTAGCAGCACGATGAGAGTCACTAATAATTAGATCGTCACCCTTCACTTCCCAAACCTCAGTAGGTTCAAACCATACATCTGGAAGCCAATCCTTTGCATATCGGGAATGAGACCTGGGTTTAGGTATAACTTTTGATTTAAGGCTGAGAGACCGCTCTTTCAGCATAGCATCAGTGATTCCAGCGCCAATATTACATATGCTCTGGAATTCTTCTCTGACGGTATCATAACAAGCAAGGAGAAAAGTAACATAGAATCCAGCCCACTTCCCTTCGCCATGTAAAGCACCGATAGGAACCAAATCTAGTGTGTGACCAATACTTTCCATGTAATCAATTTTCAACTTCAACCAATTATTTGATCGTTTCGAAGGCTCATATGTGGCGTCTCTGTTCAGCGTTTTGATTATCAGCCCTTCAGAACTGCTATCAACAGAAGCATAAAAAAAATTCTGTATTTCCTCATGATCATTTTGATGTTAGCTGTGTTTAGCGAATTGGAAAAATCCAGGTTCTTCCACGAATGAATCGTATAAATGCTCCCTACGTTTCTCAAGTTGCTCTTGCAGAAGAGGCTGATCATTCAGGTGCAACATGTCAAAACCAAATACACAAACGTCAACCTTTACTTCTTACAAAGTCGTGTGCTGAGAGAACCTGCCCAGGGAGGATCTTTTTCTTCTCCCGGTCATATGCAACAAGTTCACAATCAAGAACAAATGAAGTTGCTGAGTGTTTTTTAACTCTTGAGATGGTTTCCACAACATCAGGAAACCTTCTAGTGTATGGTTCAGCGTTGCGACAGTATATCTCAACCCAACCATTTTCTAAACAGTGTATCTGTGCTCGTTCTCCATCTTTGATTGGTTTCGCTCGCATAAGTCCACTCGGAACACCAGGAGAAAATTTGATTGTCTTTGGAAGATTCCATACTCCACCATCAAGAAGAGCAGAAACTCTTTTACCATATACCCGGACAATGGCGTAAATTTCTTTCACAACTTTTGCTGCCTCCTCTAAAGGAGAGTCCACATTTGGAGGAGGGGGAAATTGCTTCTGTGCATAAACTACAGCATGACCTAAAGCAGTTAACAGAGTCCGCTGAGCGAAACCAAAGCTAAATTTCTCCTGTAGTAGCCATATCAAGTATTGAGGTTCGGAATCGGTCGCTGCGACTAACAGCGATTTGATCCGAATCTTCTTCTTCTCCAGACAATCTTTACCACATTCATTAGCAATAAGGCGAAATCGTATCGAACACTTTGGCAACACTCAAGGCCGCGGCGGCTGCTGGCGGCATCGGCATTGCTTTTGCAACACGGCCTAGATCTGCTGGTTCCTTATACTGCTCCATGATATGAGTCAGCGAGCTTCCATATGCCTCAGAGAGTGCGTTTTATGATACAAATGTCCGGAACTCGGAGTTGCAATCCATCAAGAGCTGGAGAGATCCTATAATTAGCCAACAGGTAAACAACGAGCAACAAGTCCTCGGGACAAACTGTCCTCAAGAGATTACAGAGAATCTCGGGGTACGCAATCCGTCCCAAGCGTCTCGGGATTTCATCAAACACCTTGGCTACAAACATGAACGGCAATAAGCCGCCTTCTTGGGATCGAAATCAGCCGGCTTCTTCCTCAGCTCAGCATTGCTCTCACCAACTTTTGCACTCAACAAATCGCCACCCATCCCGTCACTGCTTACCCTCTCCTCGATCCCTTCTTTGGGATTGGAACTTGTCATTAGGTCTTGGGTTCCTGTTTTGTTGGGCGAGGCATCGAGTTTCTGTTCCGGTGGGTTACTTCTCTTGGCGGCCTTGGGGTGGGTGACCGACAAGGTTTGACGGCAGAGGGGACTACTACGTTCTCTAAATTACGTTTGGGCCGTCGAATGCTAAACTGACAATTTCCTTCTTTTATTTGATCAAGAATTGGGGTTACGTTGGGCAACCCAAACCCACCAGAGTGTCAGGTAATGAAAAATTACTTTAAAACCAACACTTAAAAGGTAAAATATCAGAGATAAGAAAGGAAGAAAGAGAAGAAGAGAATATGCAGAAATGGGGAAGGGACAAGAGGACAGAAGAATTAGGGGAGAAAAGGATAAGATTTCATTCATAAAACATGCCTCCTTTCGGATTCATACATACTCCTTTATACTAATCTCCCTGATTTTCTCATAATTTAGATAATTTACAAAATGAAAAGGCTGGCTAGCACATGCAAAGATTCTTCCCGCTCATCCTCCGGAAACTACCAGGAAGCTTCACGTTGCATGCATGTGATGCCCACCGACTTCAAAAATCCACTGCTCAGCAAAAACCCAAAACGACGTAGTTCGTCCCCAAATTGTTTCTTCAATCAAACCCGAAACAGGACCCTAACCCGGCAGAGGATTGGGCAGACCCGAAGGCATGACAAACCCCCCTGCTAATCTCAGACTTGTCCTCAAGTCTTAAAATGGGGAAATTGCTTGGAGATGAACATACTATCTTCCTACGAAGCATCTTCTGTGGGTAGGTCCTTCCATTTAATCAGCCATTGCACCACATTTACTCCTCCTCTTTTTATAAACCTTCTTTGCAGAATCTTTTCCGGGTTGAGTGATTCTCCTTTGTCTTCATCTAGATCGGGTAGTTCAGTAGGGGTGATGGGTGTATTTCCGGCGTGTTTTTTGAGTAGTGAAACATGGAATATGGGATGAATTCGGGACTGAGGGGGCAGCTGCAAACGATATGCCACACTACCAATCTTTTCCACAATCTTAAAGGGACCGAAATATTTGTGAGCTAAACTTACAGATTTTCTAACGGCCAGGGAATTTTGTCTGTAAGGATGGAGCTTAAGGTATACCCATTCTCCCACCTCCAAAGTCTTTTCTGATCTCCTGTTGTCAGCAAAAAATTTGATGCGGTTTTTAGCCTTTTCCAGATTGTCTCTGAGAAGGTTCAGTACCTTCTGTTTCTGGGCAATCATATCACCCGCCGCGGGAATGATCAAGGAATGGTATTCTCCCATAGGAAAGGTATTGGGGGGAACCCCGTATAAAGCTTCATGCGGAGTCATTTTGGAGCTGGAATGGAATGTGGTATTATACCACCATTCCGCAAGTGCTAACCATTTTGACCAATTGTTTGGTGCGCTGCAACAGAAGCATCTCAGATAAGCTTCAAGACATTGATTTACACGTTCTGTCTGACCGTCCGTTTGTGGGTGGTAGGCAGTACTCATTTTCAATTTCACCCCGAGTGTTTCAAACAAAGCTGTCCAAAAGTGGCTTGTGAAAATCCTGTCACGATCACTGACAATAGCTTCTGGAATTCCATGGAGCCTGAATATTTCTTTGAAAAACAATTCAGCAACCGTTTTGGCCGTGTAAGGGTGGGACAAAGGGAGAAAATGTGCATACTTGGTGAGGCGATCTACCACTACCAGGACGGAATCAAATCCTTCAGTCGATGGTGGCAGCTTATCGATGAAGTCCATTGATATATGTTTCCAGGCCTGTTGTGGTATGTCCAAGGGTTGTAATAACCCTGGATATTTAACATGTTCCCCTTTGCTGGCTTGACACACTTGGCATTTTCTGACAAAATCTTCCACCTCTTTTGTTTGATCCTTCCAAATGAATAGAGACTTGATCCTTTTCAAAGTTGCTTTTTGTCCAGAGTGACCCCCCAAAGGGGTAGAATGAAAATTTTCCATGATGATTTGTCTGATTCCCGCCTGATTGCCAACATACATTCTATCCCCTTGTTTCAGGATACCATTAACATATTGCAACTGTGAAGAGTTGTTAGGATCAAGGGTGGCAGTGGCTACCATTTTCTGAGATTCTTCATCCCCCACATAACTCTCTTTAAGTTGCCTAATCCAATCAGGCTTTACTGAAGATATAACATTCAAAAATGAAACTCCCATACCCTCGGTACAATCCCGGCAGGACAGTGCATCAGCTGCTATGTTGTCTTTACCTTTTTTTATACTGGATTTCATAATCCATGCCAACCAACTTAGTCAACCATTTATATTGCATGGGGGTGGACAATTTCTGCTCCAATAAATACTTTAGAGCTTGGTGATCCGTCTTGATAATAAAGTGGTGGCCTTGCAAGTAATGTTTCCACTTGCTAATGGCCATTACCAAAGCCAGCAATTCCTTCTCATAAATGGACAGTCCTCGGTTTTGCTGATTGAAGGATTTACTGAGGTAAGCAATGGGTTGCCCAGTTTGCATAAGTACAGTCCCCATACCTGATTCACATGCATCGGTTTTTACCATAAAAGGTAGAGTGAAATCCGGAAGTTTAAGAACTGGAGTAGTAGTTAGAGCTTCTTTGAGTTGTTGAAAAGATCTAGTGGCCTTGTCATCCCACTGGAAGGAATCCTTTCTCAGCAACATGGTCAATGGCTTACTGATGATGCCAAAACCTTTGACAAACCTTCGGTAGTATCCGGCTAGTCCAAGGAATCCCCTCAGTTCCCTTACCGTTGATGGCCGTGGCCAATCTATAATTCCTTGAACCTTATCCGGATTCATTTCCACACCCTTCTCTGAAATGATATGGCCCAGATATTCCACAGAAAGCTGAGCAAAAGTGCACTTAGAACGTTTAGCAAACAGTTGGTTATCCTTAAGGGTCTGTAACACAATAGATAGATGTGTCACATGGTCCTCAAGTGTAACGCTGTATACTAATATGTCGTCGAAGAAGACCAATACAAATTTTCTGAGATAGGGTTTAAAAACATCATTCATCAAAGCTTGGAACGTGGCCGGAGCGTTGGTTAAACCAAAAGGCATTACAACAAACTCATAGTGTCCATGATGAGTCTGGAATGCCGTTTTTGGAATATCCTCTTCCCTCATTCTGATTTGGTGGTATCCCGCCCTAAGATCAATCTTAGAGTAATATTTTGCACCGAACAACTCATCTAAGAGTTCCTCAATTACCGGAATGGGATACCTGCTCTTTATGGTCAGTTCATTAAGGTGCCTATAATCTGTACATAACCTCCATGTATCATCCTTTTTCTTGGTAAGTAGAACAGGAGAAGAATAAGGACTATTACTTGGTCTGGCCGTCCCTTTTTGCAGCATCTGCTCTACCTGTGTTTCGATCTCAGTTTTGTGAGCGTGAGCATACCTATATGGCTTCAGTTTAAATGGTGTAGCTCCCGGTTTCAAGGTGATTTGATGGTCAATGGATCTTTCCGGGGGCAATGTAGTTGGTTCCGAAAATACTCCCTCAAATTGATCCAAGACTCTACTGATTTCTTCAGGGAATATTTCCACTTTGACAGCATAAAGGTACCCGGCATCAGCCTCATTTCCTTGCTGAATGTACCTCCTCCTCCTATTATCAGCTTGCCTTCTCATTTGTTGTTCCCATTCCCACTGTTCTCTCCTCCTTTTGTTGCGCTCCATGTTCTGCATCACTTCCTCAATCCTCCAATACGATTCATAAGCCTGACCTTGCAGAAGGAACCTCTCTCCTCTTCTGTTCAATTGGATGGTATATCTGTCATAATCAAACATAATGGGGCTGAATTTGGACATCCAATCAGTACCCAAAATAATATCCCATTCTCCCAGATCTATGACCTTAAGATCAAACATAAAGTCGTACTGTTGAATTGACCAAGTAGTTTCTGGACAAGCTTGATCATTCCTTAACTTATATCCATCCGCCACTGTTACTACAAAGGGTCGGATCCTTTTAGTGTTCAATCTCAATTTAAACACTAATTTTGAGTCAATGAAGCTTCTAGTGGCACCCGTGTCTATTAGGATTCTAATCCTCACCCCATGAATATACCCAGTAATCAGGATGATTTTGCGGTCTTCTTCCTCCAATGACCAACACTCTTCCACCTGTGTGATATTTTGAATCTGATCCCCACTAAGTTCCACAATAGTGCCGGCATCATTGGGTTCCTCTTGTATCCAATTCAAGTCTCCCGCCTCTTCATCCTCCTCCATTGTAATGAAGTTTATCTGTTTCATCTTGCAAACATGTCCCGGGTTCCATTTCTCAGCACATTTCCAACAGAGGTTGTTATTCCTCCTATATTGAATCTCCTGTGGAGACAATCTCTTGAAGGCTCCATGGCTACCTCCTTTTTGGCCTGGGATGGTGTTCCTGATGACATGGGGAACCTTACCGGGCTTGGATGAATCTTCCCAACAGAAGAAATTCCAACCTTTTGTTTTAATGCAAATTCAAGGGTCTGCTCTTGCACTGTGGCTATTTCATAAGCTCTCAGTAAGGACGGAGGTTCAAGCAATCTCACCATGGGTTTTAATTCCTCTTTCAAACCACTAATAAAGCTCGAAATGAAGTACCTTTCCGTCAAATGCGGATCCTTACACAGAACTAGAGACTTAAGCTCCTCAAACTTCTCGTGATACTCCATCACAGATCCAGATTGATGGAGCTTATTGAACTCCTCGATCTCGTCTTTACCCCCTTTTTCCCCGAAACGCTTCACCAATTCTTCTTCAAACTCCTCCCAAGTCACTACACCTCTCACCCTTTTCAAACTTCTGTACCAGTTGTCAGCTCTCCCATCTAGATACAATTCTATTGCATCTAATTTCTTTTCATTGTTGACCTCATAGATACTGAAAAATTTATCACACCTTCGAAGCCAATCTCTAGGGTTATCACCTGAAAAGTTGGGAAGTTCAAGTCTAGGCTGGGAAAACCAAAAATTCTTGCTGGATTTCTCCAACTCAGACACCGTACTATCCTCATCTAAGATGTGAACTTTTGGTTTACTACCCGGCGTGGGTTAGATACCTGCAGATGAAGACGAGAAAGGGATTTTGCTTGAGTTGGTAGGTTCTCTTTTGAAATCGCTCTTTGGCTCATTCATCATTTGAAGAAGATCATTCAACTGCGACGACAGTTTTTGAAACTGATTGTTCTGCTGATCCACCTTCGCGTCCAGATGACTTCCCCAATTGTTAATTTTTTCCTCTACTTGTTTCCTCCATTCTCCAATTTCTAGGATCTGAAGATCTTGTTTCTTCATATGCTCCTCAAGAGCTTGAGTGGTTATAGATCTAGTCTCCGCCATAGGACAAACTCATTTACTGTTTTGTTTCATTAGCAGACTGATTCTTTCTGAATTTTGATTGACCAAATAGCCGAGGAGGGACCAGCTCTGATGATACCAATTGTCAGGTTATGAAAAATTACCTTAAAACCAACACTTAAAAGGTAAAATATCAGAGATAAGAAAGGAAGAAAGAGAAGAAGAGAATATGCAGAAATGGGGAAGGGACAAGAGGACAGAAGAATTAGGGGAGAAAAGGATAAGATTTCATTCATAAAACATGCCTCCTTTCGGATTCATACATACTCCTTTATACTAATCTCCCTGATTTTCTCATAATTTAGATAATTTACAAAATGAAAAGGCTGGCTAGCACATGCAAAGATTCTTCCAGCTCATCCTCCGGAAACTACCAGGAAGCTTCACGTTGCATGCATGTGATGCCCACCGACTTCAAAAATCCACTGCTCAGCAAAAACCCAAAACGACGTAGTTCGTCCCCAAATTGTTTCTTCAATCAAACCCGAAACAGGACCCTAACCCGGCAGAGGATTGGGCAGACCCGAAGGCATGACACAGAGCGACAACGCAAGCCTTGCAACAACTATTTCTTTGATTAATTTTAAAATTAAAATTTTCTTTAAGGAACATTTTAATAACAACTAGACTCGAGGTAACTACAATCTACGGTACAACTTCTATAAATTAATAGTGTTGAGACTAACAAAATTTATTATTTTAAAGAATTATTAAATAATCGACAAATTAATAAATTATTAATTTAAAGAATTTCTCTTAGAAACAAGAATCATCACCAGATTATATAATTTGCAATTGTCTTTACATAAAATTAATCAAGTATTAAAAATTCTTTTGAATACTTGATAGCCATACATCATTTTATCTCCAGTGACTAAAAAACAAGTATCAATAGTTTATATTGTGCTAAATATTTGTAGTTATTATTATTATCATTTTTGCTTTTAGGTTATTTATTAATTTATGATGTTGTTGGGACCTATAGATATATACGATATTTTTTGGGACATTATTATGTTATCATTTTATCGATTTTCTTCACTTTATGTACTCGCCCAAGTTGGAACCAGAGAAAATTAGTAATTGTTACAAGTTATTACTTTATCGATTATTAATTTACGGACATTCCACTCTATTCACAAAAGCAATAATCAATAACATATAGTAAAACGTTGGTAAATTAATAATCTATAAATTAATAACTTCTAATAATTAATAATTTTCTTCAATTCCAATTTGGGACCGATATAAGGAGTGTAAAAATTCGATAAAATAATAAGATAATAATGTTTCAGAAGATCTCCCATATCTATAGGTTCCAATAATACCATAAATTAATAAATACCCTAAAAGCTAAAAAATATAAATATTTAGTAAAATATGAACCATTGATAGTAGTTTTTTAGTCCTTGGAGATCATATCAACTACATATGGATTTTTAGTATTTAGAAGAGTTTTAATACCTGATTAATCGGATGTAAAGACAATTACAAATTAAGTATTTAGTAACGGTTCCATTTTTTTCATAGAAATTATTTAAAGTAATAATTTATTAATTATTTAATAATTTTCTAAATTAAGAAATTTTGATGGTCCCAACATCATTAATTTATAGAAGTTCTACTGTACGTATATAGCTTGATATCTATGTTTCAAACAAAGTATAAATTGAACAAATGAACATATATACATTGAGGTGCCCTGAATAATATTTCACATAAACTGAAATCAAATTATTAAATGAATAAATGAAGAGAATATTCGATCAAAACTAATTGGATTTTCTAGTTTGTTTACTTTCAAGAAAAAACCTGCCCAGGATATATGATATATGCATATCAGTGTACGCAGTTTTTGAATAAATCAAACAGTTATTAATTATCGGGCAAATAAAAGGAGAAATAAACTATTCCTTCCTTCTCATTTCAGTAGCAAATTTGGTTATATTATTTAAGTTGATAAAGATGATTATTAAAGTGAAACGGACATAATATTAATTTAGTGTAAATTTGCCCTTTTATGTAATAGCACCACATAATGCATTTTTTTAAAGGAGAAATGGCCGGCGATGAGCTAATCAAAAGGCTTCCTCAGGTGTTACTGAATTCGATTGATTTTTTTTTTTTTTTTTGCCTCTTTTTCTGTTTGTTTAGCATGATTACTGAGTACTACTTATAAGTTTAGTGCTCTCCACGTTTTTCATAGTCACATTTGCGGTGAGTAATGGCAAAGTATATATAAGTAGTTTCATAGCCTCCCTCAAAACAAACGTAACTAAAGTTTCATGTCAACTGATCACATTCCTAAATCCCAAAAATTTCTTTTCCGTTGTTTGTGAGCAAAAAAATGAAGAAAGGGTTCTCGATCATCATCAAATTGAGCATTGCGCTTCTTCTAATTGCGCAAACATTCTCTGTTGTTGTACTGGCTAATGCAGTACCGTTACCAATAAGAAAAACGACTAGATTACCGAATATTGTACCTCGCAAAATTAATAAACCAACATCGGCTCCACAAGATTTGTTGTCCACAACTTACTATCTAAGAACATGCCCAAATTTTGAAGGGATCATCCAGCAAAAAGTAAGGGATTGGATCAACAAGGACTACACTTTGGCCGCCAGCATCATCCGCTTGCATTTCCATGACTGTGCTGTCAGGGTATTTCGTTATTTATTACTTTTCATAATTTCATTTTCTATCTTTTAAAAGTAAAACAAATTCTCCCATCGCAAGAACTTTACGTTCTTTACATACTGACTTTATACTGGTTAATTTATTTACCAATATTGTTGTTTTTTTTTGTCCATACTATTATATTTGACTGTACTTAGTCAATTAGTATTTTATTTAAATATATCTAGAAAAAATTGGCGGACATAATTTTCTAATCTTGGCCTCTTGGGGAGAAAAAAATTGAAAATTACTTTTTAATATGTCATACATTAGTCCAAAGTCATTGTTCCGACTAATATGAATCTATGAAACGATTTTTTGCCAATATATTATTGCATTTCGGGAAAAGAATTAGTGCAGAGCATGTTACTCCCTACCTTTTGTAATTGTCACGAACGTTGATTGAGATTTTTTTTTTTCGTTTTTTGTTTTTTTGTTTTTTTTGCTCTGCACTTACGATAAATAACATAATACTGTAAAAACATGATAAGAAATGAGAGAGATTGTTTATCAATTGCTTCTTCTTCTTCTTCTTCTTCTTCTTTTTTTTTTTTCCTTTCTCTTCTTTGAGATGAAGGTAGGCACGTCTTGTTATGTTTAAGTCTCTTACCTAATCATATAACCCTCGGCCTACTTTTAATAATCAATTTTGTTGAACTAAAATATGTTTACTAAAATTGGAACAGATGAAAGAGTATTATTCTTGTACGTATTGAATTTATTAGTCTCTGCTTCCAGCTGCGTTTGTATTACGTACGTATATGTTCCGCAAATTATATATTTATAGCAAATAGAGAAAACCAAAATGATAAAGATTTCGTAAAAAAAATGCAATGCATTTCTTGCAGGGGTGCGACGGTTCAATCTTACTAAACCACACGGGAAGCGAAAGAAGAGCCGAAGCAAGCCGAACTCTACGAGGTTTCGAATTAATCGACGAAATCAAAGCCGTGTTAGAACGCAAGTGTCCCAAAACGGTGTCTTGCGCCGACATCCTCACGGCGGCAGCGCGTGACGCAACCGTCCTTATCGGCGGTCCGTTTTGGGAAATTCCCTTTGGCCGAAAAGACGGCAAAGTCTCCTCGGCCAAAGACGTAAATTCCGTCCCGCAAGGCCACGAGAACGTTACGTCTTTGATCCAGTTCTTCCAGAAATTAGGCCTAAACGTCGTCGATTTGGTCGCACTTTCCGGGGCCCACACCATCGGTCGGTGCACGTGCGATTCGATCCGACAGAGGATCAATGGACCTACTACTATTACTAATGTTGGATTAGATGTTGGATTGTGGAATTATTTGAAGAAACAATGTCGAAATGTTGGAGTTAATAATTTTGTTAATCTTGATGCGACGACCCCGAGAACGTTTGATGAAGTTTATTACAAGAACATCGAGTTGAAAAAAGGATTGCTTTTGACGGATCAGTTGCTGAATTTCGATGAAAGAACTGCGCCACTTGTGGCTGTTTTGGCATCTCAACCGCAGATTTTCTTTAGTCAGTTTGCTGCATCCATGGTGAACCTTGGAAATGTTCAAGTCATTACCGGGAATGATAAAAATGGAGAAATAAGGCTCAATTGCAATTTTGTTAATAAATAATTCTTGATCCATTTTTCGTTTGCCAAATGTTGTTGTGGGCTATTGGATTTTTTTTTATAATTTTTTTTTTAATGTAAATGTATGATGCTTGGTCAACACGTACAGGATTTTTTTTCTCCCTTTTCAATGTAATTGTATTTGAATTTTTTCTTTTAATATTATAAAAGCTCCGAAATTATTCCCTAGCTAATTCAAAGAGAACCCAATTTGAATTTTATTAAAACTAAAAACATGAACTACACAATCATTTCGATATAAAAAGAATACATTTTAATCACAGATATGCCTTTTACGATTAAACTCTTTCGCTAAGTCCTCAATAAAATTCTTTAAGCTCTGTTTGGTTGCATTGAATTAGGACCAAGAATTGAAATTGGAGCTCTTTAATTCCAATTCATGTGTTTGGTTGACAAAAATTAAACAGAAAGAATTGGAATTACAATACTATATTAGCTTCAATTCTTTGTTTTCAATTCTTTTGTGGAGGTAAATAATTGTAATCCAAATTCAAGGGACTTAAAAAATCTCGCGGGTCTAAATTGATCGTTTCCGGGTTATAACATAAACGGGCCTCCTTTCTTTTTTGCTCTTTCGTCCACTTTTTTTTTTTTTCTTTCAACCCTTGCCCCGGTTGTTTTTCTTTTCTTTTTTGTTTTTCCTTTTTTCGGCTTTTTATCTTATTATTATTATTATTATTATCATTTATTGATTTGATAATTATTAATGAAATCAATCTAAAATTAACCTTGTATCTTTTTGACAAAAAAATCAATAGTATAACTGTGTCAAAAAAATTAATAAATAAATATTTTAGTTTTGGGTTAAAAATTTTTATTATATTTTGACACAGTAAACACCATAAAATTTTCAAAAAATCTTTCATGATTGTTCCATTTGTACACCTATATATATATGTGTGTGTGTGTGTGTGTGTATTATATAATACATGGTATTTTTTCACCCAAAAATATGTAAGTTGAATTTTAAAGTATATATTTTTTCATACATAACTATATACTAAAACTGAAAAATTTTAAGCAAATTTCATAAAATAATGTCAATCTAGATATAAATAAACATTAATATTCATAAAATGAATTTATATCATATACAAAATTGTTTTACTAAATATAGGAAAAAAATCAATAAAGTTAAAAGAGAGGGAAACAAGGATGTTTGCATGTTACTTGTTTGTGTGTTACGTGAGAATTCTACGTGTCATAGAAATAATTCTTATGTAATAATATTTCTTTTTCTTCCTACAAAATGTGTGTACATAATAAATCACAAAATAATATAGCAAATTAAATGAAAAAATATTTTTTTAAAAAAAGGATTAATTAAAGGACAACAAAGTAATCTAATATACATGTACACAGTGAATTTATTATTTTTTTTTGTTTTATACATATCCATAATAGATTATTTTGACATAGGAAATTAAATTTTTTTAAAAAACCTTTTTTTGACATGAAGTATAAATTGTATTAGTTATATAATACTCCCTCCTTCTCAAAAAAAATAGTCTACATTGAGTTTTGAGTTTTGTATTGTTTTTAGTACAAATTTGAAAATTCAATGTGGACTATTTTTTTAGGATAGAGGTAGTAACAAACAAATTTTAATTCTAAAGTATCCAAATTTTGAGGCATACAATAATTGGTATTAGAACCTTAGTTCTAGCTAATTCTTAAAATCTCCCAAACAAAGGAATTGAGATTGAATTGCAATCCTAATATTTCATTTTCAATTTTTTTAATAGTAATTCTAATTCAATTCCAATTCATTCCAACCAAACGGAGCCTTAAGATTTTTCGTTCTGTCTTGAAATGAAGGAATGCTTGTTTGTCTTGATATTGAATCATATCGCTATTGAAACTGGAAATGGTGTAAAACAAAATCTGGTCTGATAATGAACTTCATAAATTGATTTCATGCATGTTTGGTGTCAAGACATGTTGGGTTCAAGTTCATTGGTTTTAATATGAATGCTCTTCCTCTAAGTCAAAGCGTGCTCTGATTAAACACGTGCTATGGTTTTTGGTCTCTTCTAATAATGATGATTTTGATCGAGTTGCATGAGCATTCAAATTTAAATTAAATTTACTGTTAATGTTGTGAGTTATAGTTAGGACTAGGAGAAGTCGTTAACAACTTACATATATTTTTCCGTACTTAAATAATTATTTAATTAAAATTTTTACTTTTCGAATAAATTATATTAAATATAAAATGTTTAACTGAAAAATTATTTCGGGACGGGATGACTACCAAGTACCAACTAGCGCCTTTACAATAAACACATATGTACAGAAAAATTTCGCGTTCAAATTATGAACTTTTAGATTTTCTTGACAAGTACCTGTTAGAAGTCACATTCTACTTGTTGGGTACAGATTTGCACAGCTGAGGCATTATTAAAAGTAACGTGAGTTGCGTTGAATTATGAATGGGTTGTAATCCTTTTCGAGATGGAAAAAATGATAGTTTCCCGATAGAACTGGAACCTGCATTACGATCGATTGAACTGGAACCTGTATTATCTACTACAAAGATGGAATTATTAATTACGGAGTCACACATGAATATAACGGGAAATAATAATATGAGGTGATTGAAACTCTCATTATTTTGGTCAAAATGAGCTACCAGATTAAGAAAAAGTAATTAGTAGTGTCCCAGTGAAGATAAAATTAAAGGGAAATGAGTTATACATGAAAATTCTACAGAAAATTTTAATAGGAAATGAATCATAACTGTCTATACTTACATTAAAAGGTTTACAAATTAAAATGTTAATGATGATTAAGATTAAGCCACATCATTCCTTGTAATTTTTCTTGTCAAATTAATATTCCTTACATATACCAACACTTGAAATTAAAATAGGTGAGAGTTTGATGTGGGCGTAGAGTCTGTATCCAGTATATTCGGAGGTACCGTGTACTCTCTCCTATTTTTTGCATTTCTAGTCCTTATAGTACTTTTTTTTATCAATCTTTCTATATTTTGCAATTAGTCCCTGTCATTTTTTTTCTCTCTTCCAAAAAAAAACATCTCTAATCTTTCAACTAGCATATCTCCCAATCCATGAAAAATTTGTGAACGAATTATATATGAAATTTATAGTACTGTCGAGATCTATCCAACAAAATTCATAGTGAATATTTTTCTGGGCTTAAAAATGACTTAATTCTGATGGGCAGAATAGAGATGGATAACCAACTTGTTCTAAATTGGTTATCCATTGTGTTCATGCTGATTATCCAATCAGTTTGAACTGGTTATCCATTTTGTTTGTACTGTTTATCCATTTGGTTTGGATGTCTATCCAACTTGTTTGTAATGGATATCCCACTTGTTTTAAATGGATATCCAACTCGCTTGTACTGGATATCCATCCATTTGGATTATATGTTTATCCAACTTGTTTTGTAGTTGTAATCCAACGGGTTTGTATGCATATCCAACTTGTTTGTGCTGGACATCCATCTCGCTTGTACTGGATACCCATCTACTTCATATTGATTATCCAACTTCTTAATTCAAAATAAGTTGGTTATCCATCTTCTTAAACTGGATATCTAATGTGTTTATATTGATTATCCAACTTCTTTGTGGTGGTTATCCAGTATTTTTTTTCCCTTGCTCTTTTATGAAAATGATTGTCAAACTTTTTTTTACTAATTATCCAAATTGTTTGCAATGCTTATCCAATCATTTTTTCTTTCTTTCTTTTTTTTTTTTGAAGAGTGAATCTCAAAAATATGATTGGATAACAAGTACAAACAGAATGGATAATCAGTCCAAACCGGTTAGATAATCAGTAAGAACACAACGGATAATTTAAATGCATTTAAAGTTCAAAAAAATATTCAACATGAATCTTATCGGATAGATTTCGTCGAGCACTATAAATTTCATGTATAATTCGTATTCTAATTCTTTACGAATCAAGAGATATTGCAATACAAGAATCTTAATGTAAACTAAACTGGTTATCCATCTTTCTAAACTAGCTATCCATCTTATTCCGACCATCGAAATTTAGTCATTTTTAAACTCGAAAAAATATTCGACATGGATCTTATTGGATAGATCTCGACGAGTACTATAATTTTCATGTACAACACGTTCTCTAATTTTTTACGGATCATGAGATATGGTCGTTTAAAGATTAGAGATGTTTTTTAAAAGAGAGAGCGTAAATTATAGGATGTTATTTAGAAAAGTAGAAAAAAATATAATAAGGATTAGTAATATAAAAAATAAGAAGGGAAGTATGGTGTCTCAGGTATACTAGATAAATTGACGTGGGCGTGTATATTAGACGATAAAACTTTCCTTTTTACATTGCGATTTACTAAGAATGTGATTTGGTGTTATTATTTTTGGTTTGATGAAATAGACTACGGCGGCAATGAAATCGATCGGTTTCCAAAGATTACAACGTTCACCGGGGATTAATTCAGGTTAGATTATGATGTTGTTTTTTTTTTTTTTTAACCATGATTAAGTACATGTATAACCTTTTTATTTGCCATCAGAGTGGTGATTACATTCTGGTTACGATCTCACCGATTATTTTCCGACCTAAATAATTTCATTTCACTGTAAATTTTTGCTGACTCTATCAATACTAAAAAATTCATTGTCTATCATTTCATCGATTCGCTCAGCTAAAAGCCAAAAAAGGGCCATAACTAATAAAAAGAGTTTTCGTGAGCCTAAGGTGACTCTAAATAAAAATCATATCCACACTGTACGCGCGATGTGAGGTTATGAATTTGTGATTTAACGCTTGAACTAACCAGTGGTTTGGTTCACCCTTTAATGGAATGAATTATTGATGGTTCAATGTCTTAAAAAAAAAGAAAGAAAGATAATGAAAAGGCAGGATGCCTCTGTATTAATAACTGGACCACTAATCAATATTTGCAATCAAAGTGATGTCGTACTTTTGAATACGTGTTATGCTCACACTTCAAATATATATTGTT